CATCACCATCAGCAGGAACTTAAGGGAAATTGGGCACCCAGAATGTATTAATGAGAGTCTCTCTAGGTGGGGAAATGCATGAATCAAAGGCCTTCTGGAAGGGCTTCTTGGTAGCAGGAAAAACAACTGAAGGAAAAGAGTCATTTTTGCCAGACATTTTTAGATCTCCTGACAACCCTGCCACCTGGCGTGGAAACCATGTCATTCTTTGGTAGGTTCTCTGGGCTCTACTTTCTCTGCTATAACCATGCACTTGGGTTGATACATGAACCACTTTGTTCTCCCTAAATAACAATGAGGAAGGAGCTTCCCCTATTATGCTGACAAAGATTCCTTAACATTAGGGGAATACTTCTAGCTGATGAAGAACTCTTATCTGGGAACTTGATGTTTGTTGTTATTCTTTAGAAGGAATCTTGGAATGCTTTTAAATATTTTTTCATTTCAGCGATATTATAAAAATTCTGAGTGAGATTTCTTTCGATAGTCTTGCTGTTCTCTTTGTTATGTTCACACTTCCACTGATGTTGTTATGACACCTGTTTCACTAATGTTTAAGGAAAAAGGTTATTAAACTCATGGATATTAATTAATCTATATTTTATATCCTGTTTATTTTTCTATGTATACTACCTGTCATTTCTTCAACTTTCTTAGCAGTTATCAAATCATCAGATAATTAATGTGATATTGAACAGAATCAGAGAATCAAGGTCCATGCAGAAGAAAGGCCATGTGTCTGGGTCACTGACGGCCATAACTCTTAAAGTGGTACTGCCTAGAATCACACAGAAAATTAGTTCTAATCAGTGAAGTGTTTATATCAAGTTAGGCTTTGGGCCCATCCCACGTGGGTGGTACCATCTTAGGGAGGTAGTCCACAGATGTGCAAGAAAGCTACCTAAGCATGAGCCTGTGAGTGATCTAGAGAGCTAACCAGCGAGAACCAACAAGCAGTGATCCTCCATGATTTCTGCTTCAGGTTCCTTCCTTGAGTTCCTTCCCTGCCTTTTTCTATTGATGCATTGCAACCTGGATTTGTAAGTCAATGTACCCATTCCACCCTAAGTTATTGTTGGTCAGGTTGTTGTGTCACAGCAATGTAAAGGTAACCAGAACAGTCATGCATCAGTGGTGTAGAGATGAGGGGAGACAATGAACACTTGTCTTCTAGGACAGATTGATTGATAAGGAATATGTTAATATACAAATATTACTAAGAAACTCACTTTACTGATCTTAGCTGAGACCCATTGAGAAGATGAGGAAAACTCATTATCCTAACAGTGTAAAACGATTATGATTTTGCTTTACTTATGGGAAAGGAGACTAGCATGCATCCAAGAATATGAGCTGGTCAATTTATAGTTTGGAAAAAGACCTGGGAAACATGTCATAAACAGTAAGTTAAATAAATGTAGATGATCGGAATATACCTGTTGCGATTTCGAGACAACTGTCTGAACCAGTCTACAAAATTTAACTGATTTGATTCCAGCCTCAGCTTCACCTAGGTTGTTGTACACATGGATCAATATCACAGCCTGTTCAGGATCAGCCCTGGTAAATGACAAAGCCTAAGTTTGCAGCTGTCTGCAAACCACTGCACCTGCTGCCCCTCCATCTTCACTATTTGTTAGAAAGTTATCTCACCCTTTACAAGCTTTCCTACCTGTGAGCTACATAGAATGCCAAGCTATTCCTTTTTCCGAGATGTATCTGGGTCTGCACCATTTTCAGGACAAAGGTGAAATGAATCCTGCTGTCGTCAGCATTGGTGTCCTATGGCTGCTATAACAAAACCATAAATTAGATGGATTAAAAATGGCATTTATTATCTTAAAAATTCTGGAAGCCAATTTCCAAAATCAAAGGATTATCAGAACTTGCTCTTTATGTCTTTTTCATTTTTGAAAAGTGCAAGATCTACTGGTGTGTGCTTAAGAATAGTGTAGGATTCTTAAATGCATTTTCATACAATATATCATGTTTTTTGACAATATTTATCACAGCTTCCCTGTATGATGGCTCTAGTTATCTCTTAGCTTGGGTTGAATTATCTCCAATTTATACTTCTATCTTCATATGACCTTTTCACTACCTGTCCATCTTCATTATCTGTCACAGAACACTTCTTACCACTCTTAGGGACCTCTCAGTAAATCAAGATGCTCTAATTTGATTTTCTGTTACTTAAATCTGCATGCTCCTTTTCCCAAATGAAGTTACATCATAGCTTCAAGGATCAGGATATACTCGTATCTTATTGAAGATCACCACACAACTCAGTCTACAGTCTTTCTCACTCATTTTCAGTAGTCCTTAAACTTGGCAACTATATACATCTTTGAATCTTCTGATAAAATATATCATTTATACATTATATAAGTATATGTTAAATATACAATTTTGCTTAAATTTTAATTATTCAACATCTGCCAGTACAGCAGCCTATGTATGAGCTGAACATGATTCACACTACATAATCTAGGTCCTTTTCAAATGGCAGCAACTAACAGTGGCCATGATTTTTCGTTGTGATCCGGCTAATGTAGACTAACCTAGAATATTGCCTCTTTTATTCTAGGTGATATGTACAATCTTGTTAATTTATTTCAATATTATTTAGAGTACCATTGATCATGTTGAACTATTTACTTACATTGGACAGATTACATATAGAAACACTTCAGTGCTGTGGAAGCTCATTTCTGTTATCCAATCCTTATGGCAGTACCAGAAAGAGAAGTTGATGCGTCTCCCTATTACATCATAGCTTATTAAACTCTACCTATCTGTAGACTGTCAGAAGCTGCTGGGTCCTGATTCTACCACAAAGCATATGGACTATTATTTCTAACCGTGTGACAATGAAAAGTTAGATTTCGGTTGATAACCATGATTTTCATGTCTGTAAGCCATTTAATAAGAATGGTAAACAAGGAAAAGCAGATAACAGATTCTTGCACACTGACTACCCTAACCTCCCTTCTGGTTGATTTCAATACTTTAATTAGGTGATGTTCAAATATGCCATTTTACTAGCAGCTGGCTCACATTTTAATTTTTTTTCTTCGAAACTGCTGTGCAGACTCTGTCACCTGCCTTGTTGACATCCAGGCAAATCATGTACCTTGTATTTTCTTCTTTCTACCTAGTAATCTTCTTATAGAAATGAGTAGGATTAATCTGACATGATGTATGTTGTGAGCCATGAAATAACTATTTAGAGTAGGGAGAAATATTTGATTTAATTCCACTAGCATCGTGATACTCAGATTGCTACAAACCAGGAAGACATAATACAAGAAACAGAGTTTGAGTGTGGGAAGATTTTGATATCTGAGTAGAGAAAAAAACAGACATTTGTCAAGGTCACCTTGACATATCCAGTTATTAATTTAACTCTCTTATAGCCCAGCAAGTAGAACATACTATAAGAGCTAGCTGTTTTGTTAAAATTTTAAGGGAGCTGACATGGTAGCACATTCCTGTAATCCCAAGGAGATCTGAGTTCAAGATAAACCTGGCTACATAGACTGAGGTCAAGCTAGGGTATGTGAGACCCTGCGTAAGAAACAAACAAACAAAAACACATTATAAACAAACAAAAACATAGGTAGGCCTCCTTGACCTTCTGAATAAATTTAGAACTAAATATTGGAAGGAACTTGATGGATGAATTGGGTTTAGAAAGAAATGTGTTTAGTATGAATAAAAAATAAAAAGACATAGAAAATTCAGAAGAAAAACAGTATCAATTGTGTATATGGACTATTATAGACTCAAAGTTTCCAGTCTATGGTGAGGTTTTAAAAAGGTCATGCTGTCTCAATAAAGTCTAGCCCTCAGTTTCTCCCTTGAGGTCTGTTTAAATCTTTTAGATAAGGCTGTAAATCTTTAATTTAATTTTTTCTGATAATGCATTCAAAGCTATTTCCCAAGATTTATTTTAAGCTAGATGATCTACAAAACCCATCTTATTTTTTCCACATTTTACAAGTTGTTTTAGTCCTTACCCCTCTTCGCATCGTCATCTTCCAGAGAGATGAAGGAAAGATCTCACTGAGAACTGCTTTGTCTATCAGCGTAAGAATGTCTAAACCAGGGCAACAGAGAAGGCTAGACTGGTAGTGTGATTGAGGCTTGCTGAAATGGTCAGCCTCTAGTTCTTCGAGAGCTCCCAGCATGGCTGGTCTCGCCACTCAGTCCATCACAGTGATAGATGTCCTGCATTGTAATCACATGACATACCACCCCAGTGAAGAATTGATGGTCAGTCTTTTTTGTTTCTTCATTTTTTTTCCTAGAATGATTGATCATTCATATTTATAGGCCTATCAACAACTGGGCTTTACAAAGGTCAGTATTGATTATCTGGACCACGCAGACGGCATTCTTCATTACTGTACATAAATATGACTTTCTTTTATTGGAATTCTATAATTTTTCAAGGAAGGCAGAAAGAGCATAAGCATTAATATGATTCATGCGGTGGGAATTTGAATGAGAAGACATGGAGACGGTCACAGGTTTTGGGCTTCAGTAGAGTCATACTTTAGGTAATGTATTTCACTACTCCCAATTTGTATAAGTGTGCATACACGCGTGCACACACACATAAACACACACACACACTTATACAATTTGTTTTATAGGTGAGGAAACTATTCCTAGTGCTGGAAGTAATTAGACAGCCTGCTGGTCCTGACCTTTAGAAGAAATGTAAAAGCTATGTGTCAAAATGCAAAGAATGGTTTCTTTTGGATAAAGCTGTAAAGCTCATATAGTAATTTTGCAATAAAAATAAGCGATATTAAACATACTGTGAATGACAACGAGTTGGCTGAAGATGCTAAGACCCTGGCCACTGAAGAAGGAGACCACTCTTTTAAGGAGCTTGCCTTGGAGGGGTCAAACAAGTCCAGGCTGCTCTCATCTCCCCTCTCCAGTATGGCGCATTACTGACGGATGCTGGGCTTCTTGTGTTTTACACTTAGAGTTTTTGGCCACTTCAGCCTGCGCTCCGAATGGCAGTTGGTGAAAGTGGACTACAAGTCTATCTTCAGCCGGCGCTGCACCAAGGAGGACTTTGAGACTTGGCACCTGCTCAATCAGGTACCACTACATTGGGATGTGCTGGTGTCTAGAAATGGTTTGGTCTCTGATCTTATATTTTTGGGAAATGAAGGCAGTACATCATTTGGGCATGTGTATATGGGGAAAATCTGTATATATACAGGACCAACAAGGGTAAATGAAATACATCCTAGAATTCTATGTACTCATTATATCACCAAACTTCCTGAAGGAGAAGGTACAATAATAACATAAGATATCAGTTAAACTGCAAAGAACTGAGTACCAGGTAGTTAGCAAGCCTCCTAAGATATGCTCATCTGCCTTGCCATGAGGAATATGAGAACATATCTCAGGACAGCTTAGAGGAAGGGCCCTAAAGCACTAGGAAAAGGGAAAAGGGATGAAAGGTGGATGGGTCTAGTGATGGCAAATATTTGTTGCCATTCAATATAGAAGGACTTCTGCATTCCTTCCAACTCTTGGGTCGTTGGATTTTGTACAAACTTTTACTCTTTTTTGACCTTGTCTAAGATTATTTAGGAATTTAGGGTAATTATTTATGAGAGAGAATGAGAAGAGAGGAAGAGAAAGAAAGGAGAGAGAAAGTAGGAGGGAGAACAGGGGGAGATTGCACTTATGGGGGCAACCTCAATTTTATCGTGAAAAATAATATAAACAATAAAAACAATATACCAGAAGTTGACTTCTCATTACTTTAGCTGCTAAAGCCACTTGAATAATGACATGCTTTAGAGACTGGAAGTCATTGTGTTCTCCACAGAGATGGAGAAGGAACAATGTTGTATAGACATCAGGATAGCATGAGTAGAGAGGCAGACTTGGGACAGCCATGCATCATAGTCCTTTCATGCAGGGATAAAGGATTAGCATGTTTGTTCTGGAAACTCCTGCATGGTTGCTGAGAAATGAGATTGCTATGTTGAATACTAAAAGCCAGTGCTTGTGTTGACCAACGGGCTTATTTACCTCCTATGCACTTTATTGCCTATCTCACTATGGCCTTTCTCTTTAAGGGAGAGCCTTGTGTCATGGGGGAAAGGAAAATATTCAAGAAACGCAAGCCAGGTGCTCAGTGTGCCCTCGGCAGAGACTACTCTGGTTCAGTGGTATCAGAACCCTGTGTTTGTGCGGATTGGGACTTCGAATGGTGAGTCCTTTGAAGGTTCATTTTCAGTTCTAACCAGATATTTACCTGACTGTGGGTGAGGATAAAAATGGAGTTAGTTTGACCCAGATGCAGGAGGTACATCTTTGGTCTTAGATACTGGATCAGACAGGAATTCTGCATCACTCAAAAGTGAGAACAAGAAACAATGATGGAGAATACCAATGCAGTGTGACCAAAATTTCCTATGGGCCTTTCCCTATCTTCTCATCTCCAGCAACTGAGTAGCCATATTTGATAGTCCTGGAGGAGTGGGGATGGACACTGATGAGGCTTAAGGAGCTACTAGCCTATGCAGTTACCTTCGTGCATATTTTTATCAAGGTGTATTCTTTTTATGGGTACTCCATCATTATTTACTCTTATTTTTATTTTTTACATATATATTATTTACTTATATTTATAAAATATATTATAATAATTTGTGTTCACATAACCCTGTGAAATGATAAAATCAAGGTGATTAACATTTATTTACCCAAAGATTGGCCAATTCTTATTGTTGGGAATCTTTAGACTCCAATTCTGCTTCTAATGACAACGAAAAAGTGCAACTTATATCTAGAATTCTGATAGCTAATCTCTCCCACAACTGATGACTCCCAAATATGAAATTTCCTAGCCTTCAGTCCCAGCTTCCTTCTCCTCTGAGAGATAAGTCTGCCTAACATACAAGACGTACATCTGGTTTTCTAAGAGAGGCTGCATAGTTAGTGTGGCTGAAGAATCATTTTTACTGTGTGAGAAGATATTCCTGCTTCAGGCTCTCTATTGAACCAATCACAGATCCATCCATACCATGACTGAAATGCAAGCCCCCTCCAATCCAGACTACCAATGAGCCCTTTCCAGTTCTCCCTCCAAACACACTGTCCCTGAAGGCACGTGTGACCATCCTTATAGCTGTAACTATCATGCAGAAGTCTACTGACTCACCTTCACTCTCTCTGCGGTCACCCTAAGGTCCTGTATGTGTGTGTCTGCAGTCCTAATTATTGGACCAGGTACATTTTTTAAAATTCCAAAACAGATCATATTACTCTTGTACTTGAAAATATTTTAATGGATTCTCTCTCCTTTAAGGTATTGACTTGTTGAAGGCCCATTGGCCTGGCATCCTTTTCTATCTATTTTTTTTTCATTCTTCTCTCGTTAGCTGTATTACGGCCACACTCCCCACTCCAGTGATTAATTCAGGCTCATTCCTAAGAAGACGACTGGAGAATACAACAGTTTCCCCCATGTTTCATCACAGCTAACACCTTTTAATCTCTCATGTTTCTTCAAAATTGTTAGCTTCTTAGAAATGCTGAAGACATCTGTCTCATCTGTATACTCTGATGCTCTCTAGCTCACCGCCATGTTTTTGTCTCATTAGTATTCACTGTATGCAGTGATTATGCTTTTGAATGTTTTGTTATCATCTTTCTTTCCCCAGTAGAGTGTAAGAGCTGCGAATCTACCTTTAAACTTCCCTTACGTTAAAAATCCAAGCGCCAACTCTACAGTCAGCATTCAATAAAGAGTTGCAACATATTTTTGAATGCTGTTCTTAGGAGAGACAAAAACCTTCCCACTTCTGAGAATATGTGGATATCCCTCTGCTCTCAGCCAAATGGATGCTTCCTATGTATTCAGTCAGAAGCTGAAGTTCCGTTTGATACTTGATAGTGATCATCACGGGTTAGATGAAACAGCTGATGCCTCCAGCATCAGCCCATAGTTAAGGAAGGGGATTGGGCAACGGCAGAGTTGTATTTGGGTTTCTCTGCTGCAGACTATCAATGTATACTGCAGGACAAAGAGCGTTTGTCCTCACACAGTGGCCTCCCTTCTCTCATCTCTATGTCATACAGCTATTGTTTAAAAGTCATGTTTTTAATTTCCTGAATTTACTAGAACTTTAACAGGTAACTAAGAGTCACTTGTGTAGCGTGACCTTGCCTGCTCCCAATCTGTTCTTCATTCTTAGATAACTTGACTTCAGTGAGATTTATTAAAGTAAGATGTATAAATTTAAATTTCAGTGGCAGGGTCCTTTCTGTGTTAGAAAATCCTTTGAAAATATGAGGATTTTCCCATCTGGGAAGACTATTTTTAGTTCTGAACAACAGCTTAGTGTGTGATGATACTAAGTAGATATAGTCGTCGCCTTAAAAGTATAACATGGACATTGTATTTCATACTTTTCTCACTGATGTGACATAGTACCTGAAAAAAAGCAGCTTAAAGTAAGAAGCAGTTTCTAGGGCTCATGGTTTAAGAGGCTCCAGTCCATCATGGAAGCAAGGATATGCACTGGAACTCTGTAATGAGGAGGGCAGGAAGCAGAAAGCAAACAGTTAGTCAAGCCAGGTTATAAAATTCTTAAGCCCTACCCCTTTTGACTCACCTCTTCCATAGAAGATATGCTTCCTAAAGTTTCCATTGTCTGCCAAAAGACCCCTACCAGCTTGGAGCAGATCCTCAAACCCATGAGGCTAGGAGAACATTTCACACTTGAACCAGAGTACCTGTGTACCTCGCCAGACTGACTCCATCGAGGTCCACTGCCTTTGCTTATGCCACAGGACAGATTTGTCTATGTCTCTTTGGTTCAAATCTGACTCCCACCCATTGCTAGGAGGATTCACAAGTAAGAAGGGAAAAAAGACTACAAAGTCATATTTCTTTCCTTAACCTATCTATCAACATTTCTGGTCTGTGTAAAAATCCTAACTCTTACATTCATGGGTTTTTCTTCTGGGAAATTTTCTTAATTTCTGTGCCCGTATCTCCTTTACTGCAAAATAAAATACGAAACACATTTCTCACCAGGTCCTAGGGATAAATAAATGAATTGGTTCGTGAATGAGGGTAGATCATTAATATAGATAAGACGCCTACCTCAGCTGTGTACCGCATAAACTTACAACATGTGGTAGCTGCTGCTGCTCGAGTTCTACCCCAGAGTAAGTGATCCCCATAGGGATCACACCAGAGATGTCAGAGCTTGAGCACTGTTAACTAAGCCCTGTTTTCAAAGTTGTACCTTTGGATCTTACGCGATTATTTTAATGCTAGTGATGGGACTTAAGGGGGTTTTGAGGGCTTCATTGGGGACTACTGTCAGAATCTAAGTAAAGCAGATTATGGGGTACAGTCAGAAGCTTTTCTGTCCTGACTGCCCACTCCCTGTCACAGTGAGTGCTTCCAAATTGCCACACGGAGGCTAATATTACTATAAGTGCTCAGCCAATAACTCAGGCTTGTTACTAGTTAACTCTTACATCTCATTGAATCCATTTCATTTATCTCTGTATTGCCGCATGGGCAGCTGGCTGGCATCTCTCTCAACCTTCTTGATTCTGTCCTTCCTCCTCCCATCATTCTGTCTGTGCCAAGCTGTTTTGCCCAATCTCTTCTTGCTGTGCTATCGGCCAGTCAGTTTCTTATTAACAATGAGCATAATCCACAGGATTTCCCCTTTTTTTCTAATTAAAAAGGAAGGTTTTTAACCTTAACAGGGTGAAATTGTACACAGCAAAAAGTTATTAAGTAAGAATTAAAGCAAAAATATCCAATCCATTTGCATTTAGCAAAATTAAAGAAAATATTCTATTATATATTTTATCTTTGTTATTCCAAAGTTTTGCATCTAATTTACCTTTTATCATAACTAAGGAAAACTGTAACTATAATGATCTAGTCTTCAGCTCCACTAAGACCCCAGAAGGGTGACACGTTTTCTAATGATAGGGACATCTTGCAGCTTGGACACTCACCTAAAGCTCCTCTATAATGTCGGAGCATCTAATTCTGGCCTACTTTCTGACAGACTTTACTGTGAAGCAAGATATTCTGAAAGATTATCCTGCTTTGTCTTTGGAGAGTTTGACAGTTACCTTTATTGCATCCTGCTGGTCCATTTTGGATAGGATATTGTCAGCCATTGAGGCAAGGACAGTTTCTTTGCCCACATGGTTAGCTTTTTCTATAAAGAAAATAAACTCCATATGGAGCTTCTTTGATGCCCATCATCTTCTGAAGCAGTTGGCACTGCCAGGAACAAAAATGTCTCACAGTCATCAAAGCCTCAAGTTATTAAACATATTAAATGCCATGTTCTGTAGGTCTTTGAAGCATTTGAAGACCAACTATCTAAATATGTGTATGACCTTGAAAAAAACACTTAACATGACTAAGTTTTACTATTATAGATGACTATTAATCCTTATTTCTAAATTATATATTACATTTTTAAATAAACTGCATAAACACAATACCTTAAACAAGAGTAGAAACATACATAAAGAAAAACAAAATTAATTTTAAATTTGTAACCATAAACCAAAATCCATACTATTGTAAAATATTTAAGATTAATAGAGATTTTTTTGGTTTAAAGTAGATTCAATAATCTTATTACCCTACCATTTTTATAACTCCCCTTTTCTTTTCAGAATGAGATCCCTGAATCTAATCTCCTTTGTTTAGCTTTTTTAATGACCATTATCAATAACAACTTTTAACCACCCCCTCAAATGATAATAAATATCCATAATGACTTTTTGGGGGGATATGGTCCTAATTTTTTAAACTACTTCCTATTTATTTATGGGCACTGATAATCTTTGAGGTAACCTTGAGGACATTGGGATAATTGTTAAGTCTTGGCTGTAGTATTCTGTGGGGCTGTATCATCTTAATCAGTAGCCTGGAAGCTGATCTGGATGCTGGATCACCTGGGACATTGTTTTCAATGGTGTCTAGTCCCCTTGCTCTGAAAATATATAAACTTTTAAAGGTAACATATATCTCTATATTAGTACAAGTATAGATTGTGTGTTGTACATAAATCAGTTAAATATGATTATTTGAGGAGGTAAAATATACATTGCATGTCTTGTAGTTCTTTTAGATTTATTTTGTGTGTGTGTGTGTGTGTGTGTGTGTGTGTGTGTGTGTGTGTTTGAGTCAGGATTTTTAGGATGTCTTCCTCA